CTTGAATCATGGATCTTTAGTGGCGCAGTCACACATGCTAGCCACTGAGCCACTATAATTGCTTTTTGAAAATAATACTGTCTTAGATTTACGCGAATATTTGACACTAGCATTGCCCGCGGCTCCGCCCGCGTTCAGATGACTCAAAACCAAATTCTTAGGTTTTACATATTAGTATACTTTTACAATGCAGTTTTTGTATTTTTTCTCAAAAATGAGAAATTTTCCCGCGGTAAAAAGTATCCTATATGTTGACCCGGATGACCAGCTATCATCATACCAAATTTCATCAAAATCTGTTCAGTGGTTTTTTCGTGATGCGGTAACAGACAGACAGACAGACAAAAATTCTAAAAACTATATAGATTCGTACTTTATATCGATAATAATATCTATTTCAATTAGATTTTCCAAAAAATATTTATTGTATATATTCGACTTAGTTACAATTTTATTCTATTTATAGATTTTAAATAAAACTACCTTTTTTAGTGCATTTATTTTGATTTTTGGTTCCCTAAGTTTTGAATGCACAGCAATCATAATAATGGGCGAGACTAATAAATCCGCGAGAAAATCCGAAAAGATAGTTTTATTTAAAATGCTTTTGGAAAACTTATAATTGTACGATAATTTATCATGTATAATATTTTATAGCGTTACGTCAAATCGTCGTTATAATCCATACTAATATTATAAATGTGAAAATGTGTTTGTTTATTTGTCATTCTTTCACGTTGAAATGGCTAGGATGGAGAGTGACATAGGCCACTTTTTACCGAAGGAAATTATCTCATACAATGCATAAAAATATGTATTTATGATCAGAATTGAACTTGAAACTTGGTATAAATGCTCTTCAATAAATTAACGTGTTTTAGCATATATAAGGTAGTAGGTATAGTAGGTAAGCAGTATATATAAGGGAGTAAAAATTATAACTTAAACCTACCATTTTAGAGATTTTTTTGTAGTTTTAGCGCGAGCGAAGCCGCGGGTTCTGCTAGTATATTATAAGAACATGTTATGATCATTAGTCATTTTTGTAATCTTCTAAAACCTTAAACGATTATAAATTACATCTTGTTATTGACATAGAAAAATAACAAGTATATTTGTATGTTATGGACAATTCAATTTATCAATGTTATTTATGAGTCGCTTGTGTTTGATAACTTTATGTATTGCATACTATGAATATTTTAAAGCTGTTTTATTTTCTTACAATTATAATATATACTACTTTGAGTAATAAATTTTGTATGATATAGTAGATATGTCTACACCATTTTAATTAATAGCGACTTAGCCTTGAATGCTTTAGGAACGCATAAAAGTCAAACGTCCTAAGAAAAATTATTTTATTGCACCAGGAATCTTTACAGGTGTATACATAATAACCAATCAGTCACTAGGTTAAGAATGCATAGAGGACAAAAATATACGAACATTCATTTTTATTTATATAGATATTTTGATTCCCCATACAAATTTTCATCCTCACTTTTATCCCCATTTTCACCCCCTTAAGGGATGATTTCCGGGATAAAAAGTGTCTATGTCTATGTCCATTTATATACATTGACCATAGGTTCGGGAGTAAGACAGGCGGATCAAGTTTGAATCAAAAGTAAATTCGAATCAAAAACAAAATCAAATTTGAATCAGTTTCAAGAGTAAGGATTGGATCCAACCTGGACGACAATATAGGTACTGTTCCTAAAAACATGTGGGAAATTACTATTGCTATCCCGGAATGTAAGCCCGGAAGTCATATATACCTTAAGGGGTGAATAGGGAGGGTGGAACTTCACATATAAAACTCATCATACCTTTATGTGTGTCATTAACATAGACTATTATTATTATAGTCTATGTATTCCATACTAATCTTCATAAGGTAGGTTATAGATAGCTAGTATACTTTATAATAATATAATATACTTCATATGATAAATAATACTATCAGGATAAATACATCGCGTAATAAAATTGAAAATAATATTAAAACAAAAAATTAAAACAAACATTAGCAACCGAAAATACAGTTTGCGAAATATAAATTTTAGTGCTTTATCCTAACAATATGTTAATTAGGTCGCTATAAAATAAAGTAATTTTGAATGAACAATAAAAAAACTCTTAATAATGTTATATGTTACTATAGATACAACACAGTCGGGTTTTTTTAATTTTTATAAGTATTTGTTTATTTACAGATATTTAGTTTGGTCAATAACATTTTTAAAGATTTATTTAACACCTCCAGGTAAATTTCTAAGAAATTAATTTAATTTCTAAGAAATCTATTGTTAACTGTAACGCCGGCGTGTCTGCGGTCGTTGAGGAATTAACAATTTGTTAATCTAAATTATTTTTAAGCATATAATTTGCATATATTTTTGTAATCGCCTTGTGATACCCCACACGATAACGAGTTATCAGCAAATATATGTCAAATAATACCCTTAGCGGTCTGTCAAAAGCACGAAAAGACTGGACAGTCCCATATAAAAAGTAGCTTATATGATTGATATAAAATGTTCTTTTGTTTCTTTATTATCATTAAAAGTTTTACTATTCTTTTAAAATAAATTTACATAATATATAAAAAAATGTTTTATAATTTTGACTTAATTTTGTACTTAATTAGCAAATTTGTTAATTATGACCAGGCAGTGAAAAAAATTCCACGCTACCTCGGCCCGTGTGGCTCACTCGAACCGCTAGCGAATAAGGTGCATACCTATCGAATATCCGATCGACCTTATTCTTCCGCAGAACTAAGTTTAAAATCTAATTTAATTTATATACCTGAAGTATTTTTCAAGAACAATCTAAAAAAAGGTATATTTTTTGAAAAATAAAACTATAAAAAAATCATTCAGTTGAATTTCTATCTTAATAACGGATAGAAAAGATTTGAAAAGTCATATAATTGCATTAATTTAATATCCGGTTTACTAAGAATATGTAGGCAAATTAGCGTTAAAATTTGCGCAGTAGCAGTTGTTCTTTTTTGTTAAATCTTCTGATGTTTTAATACTTATTATCCTATTCCGGACTAAGAGAAATCCAAAAAATCTAACATCATAAAAGTTGGTCCAGCCGATTATAAATTGTGTAACTAACACGATTTTGTTATATATATATATATATATATATATATATATATATATATAATATTATTTTATATTTTTCTCTTTAATAAAACTTTTCGTGTACTTTAAGGAACAACGAAAAAATATATTTGCTGAATTGGTTGAGCCGTTCTCGAGTTTTGCGCTTAGCAATATTCATTTTTATTTATATACTAGCGACTCACTCTCGCTCCGCTCGGGTTTGTCCATAGGTGGTTCTTTAAATTGACGTAACTTTTTTATTTATGAACTGATTGAAATAAAACAAATACTAAATGTTAAGCAAAGCTTACCATAATTTATTAGTGAAAACCGCATATAAATCCGCTAAGCCGTTTCTGAGATTAGCGCGCACAAACGCACAGACAAATAGACAAAAAATCTAAAAATCATTGTTTTGGGTTCTATTACGTAAATAAAGACCCCCCAATGATAGTTTTTTTCATATATCTTCCATGTACAGACAGTGATCCGTTGCATTTTTATTAAATGTATAGATAGATAGAAGATAGATGTGCTCCCATGTAAATGAGCCATAAAAATCAAAAGTATAATTGGACCCAGTTATGCAAAAAACAGCCATGTGTGTAAAAGTACCAACAGAGTTATAAGCATTTTTTCTCAGATTAATTATTACAATTTCAAATGTAAAAGAAGCCACAGATGATTATTACGCTATAAATATTTACAAATCCATGAATACCATATTACCATTACTATGTAATGCATATAATAATAATGAATATTGATTTGTCTACATTAACCTAAAACTACTTTTAAATTAAACTTTAATTCAAAAATAATTTATTAGGCATTGAGGTTTCATAAAAGAATTCCGGACAAGTGCGAGTCGCACTCGCACACAGAGGGTTCCGTACAAATTTGTAGGAAATCTGTTTTTCAATTAATTTTTTATTTAAAAACTGTTTTTCAATTTCTTATTTTTTAGGATTTTTTTCTTTATTTGTGCTGCTTCCTTTTTGCGATATTTCGTGATTCTAGGTCAACGGGAACTACCAATTATTTATTTATTATTTTTTTAACATAAAGGTAGTAGAAAGTTAAGGGAAAATTTTGGTACTTACAAGTTTACGCGAAACTCTAAATTTGCCCATATCTTTTTAACGTGTTGACTCAGGACCTTGACTTTTATACATTTAATAGAGACTATAGACTTCAGTATCTGGTCTAAATTTCAACTTGCTACATCCACTCGTTCCTAAAAAATCGGTGGTGACATACGCACAGACAGACGGACAGAAAGGCGTAAAGCTAGTCCTAGCTAGCTAGCTAGTCCCAGTCCGTCCGTCCGTCTGTTTGTCTGTCTGTCTGTCTGTCTGTCTGTCTGTCTGTCTGTCTGTCTGTCTGTCTGTCTGTCTGTCTGTCTGTCTGTCTGTCTGTTACCGCATCACGAGAAAACCACTGAACAGATTTTGATGAAATTTGGTATGATGATAGCTGGTTATCCGGGTCAACATATAGGATACTTTTTACCGCGGGAAAATATCTCATTTCTGAGAAAAACTACAAAAACTGCATTGTAAGAGTATACTAGTATGTAAAACCTAAGAATTTGCTTTTTGGTCATCTGAACGCGGGCGGAGCCGCGGGCAATGCTAGTCAAACATAAGGCACATCTTCCTAAATAAATTATATAAATAGCCAAAGAAAAAAACAGTTCAACCCCTTTTTTCCTATGTTTGTCAACCGATTTTCTTTTTTTATTCGCTGTTGACGAGCTTTAGTGTTGTTAATAAAACATTTTGAAAACAGTTTTTTTTTATATAATGATTATGGTAGAATTTCTACAGTTTTAATTTCGGGCCAACACTCGTTTTAATAAATATTTTCCTCTTCCAGATCCTCGGACGGAGAACTGGTGGCTTATGTCAGGACCAGGTCCGCTTCTCACGCTTTTAGCCACGTACCTTTACTTTTGCACGTCTGGGGGCCCTCGGTATATGAGAGATAGGAAGCCGTATTCATTGAAAAACACTATCATTGTATACAATATATCACAAATTCTGATGAGCGTATACTTGGTTTATGAGGTAAGTTTAATAGTTTTAACCGTAGAATAAGATGGATATTTATCTATACATATAATAAAATTGTAACTAAGCCGAATCTGTACATTAAATATTTTGGAAAATCTTATTGAAATAAACATTGTTATCTATACAGAGGTCGAATCTATAGTTTTTAGAATTTTTGTCTGTCTATCTGTCTGTCTGTTACCGTATCACAGAAAAACCGCTGGAGGGATTTTGATGAAATTTGGTATGGTGATAGCTGGTTATACGGGTCAATATATAGGATACTTTTAACCGCGGGAAAATATCTAATTTCTGAGCAAAAATACAAAAACTGTACTGTATAATAATATGTAAAACCTAAGAATTTGGTTTTCGGTCATTTAAACGCGGGCGGAGCCGCGGGAAATGCTAGTGGCATTTCAAACTAGAAATTTATCTTGTAATTCTGCATTTATTACACTATTTTATGTTATTAATATAAGATAAATTATTCTCTTATATATAGATAATATTTCTAGTAATATTACAACAAAGTAATATTACAGTACCTAGTTTTTTATGTTCCAAGAATTATGTGTTATATATGTACGTACCTACTCGTACATATTAATGGAGCTGATGGAGATTAATAATGTTGTTAATATGTGTCATATTTGACACAATGGAATTATAATAAATCTGTGAAACAGTTTTTAGAAATTTATGAATAAATTACTGAGAAATAAACTTTTTACGGACGGACTTTACATGTCTTTAGAAAACTTGGTAGATTCTCTCAGACATGCAGATTTCCTCATGATGTATTCCTTCACCATTAAGACTAGTGGTAATTATGTTGGAAAAGATTCGCACATGAAAATAATATCAGAGATGCGAGACCGGGATTTAAACCCGATTCCCTCGGTTTTCCAAGCGAGCGCGTTACCACTTGGCTACCACTGCCTATACACTGGCTTATATTAGTAAATACATTAGAAGCTCGTATCCAATATTATGAAGGACTATTACCTGTATTGTACTCTTTTAATATTTAGTTTCTTTATTGTGTATATATTTTTGATATACAATAAGGTTGTTCGTTTATTCAAATAGTCTCTAAATAAATTTTGCTCCCATGATTGCTAATTAATAAAACAATTAACTGTTTTTTGATAAATATATTTTAGTTACATACCAAACTAAGTTATTTAAAATCATCGAACGTAAATTACAATTTTTAATTTTTAGGGTTTAGTCTCCGGGTGGTGGAATGACTACAACTTTTCATGCCAACCAGTGGACTATTCTGACAATCCAAAAGCACATCGGGTAAGAATTTACTTTTCATTTTGAAGGAAGTTGATAGAATAACATCTATCTCGTACGATCTCTTATATTAGATGATATATGGAATTTTCATTCTTTAATTCGTAGATGGCCGCAGCTGTTTGGTGGTACTTCTTCGCAAAAATAGTGGAGTTGCTCGACACGATTTTCTTTGTCCTTCGAAAGAAGAACAAACAGATAACGTTCTTGCACATCTACCATCATACCATGATGCCAATTTGCGCATGGATTGGTACTAAATTCTTACCAGGTGGGTTTATTTTGCTGATTAGCGAATCACTGAAACTCGTTACATTAAAATAGTTCTTAAAGTCCATCTGCAAAAACCGTATTTGTTCAAAGTTCTTACATGCATAATATTAAATATAATTCCGTAGATAATTAAAAATGTTCATTATACAAACAACATTTTAACTCCAAATTCTTTTTGTTTTTACTTGTGTATTGTTTTTGTTATTACTAATGAGTGTTTAATGAGTGTAACTTAAAATCATAATATTATTTTTTTATATTTCCAGGTGGTCATGGAACCCTGCTCGGAGTAATTAACTCTTTCATTCATGTTATAATGTACACATACTACTTAATATCTGGTCTTGGACCGGAATACCAAAAATATGTATGGTGGAAGAAGCACTTGACTTCTCTTCAGTTGGTAAGTTTTTTACATTATCTCCGAACTAGCTGGTCTGTTACATATTTTTGGCACTTTACGTAATGTAATATTTGTTAAAATGTGTCCAGATTGTGGTCCAGATTTTATGATTTTCTTTATTAGGACTATACCTACTAATAATAAACTGTTGAGGTTATAGGGTAAGCTATCTGTGATAATCGAAAGTTGAGTTAGAAATTTTACATTAATTCCATGTAAAATATGTCAAATTCCTACCACTAGTAAGAAATAATAAAGATAGGTAATTATTGGGATCCAATGATAGCTAGTCGTTATATTGCATTAATATAGAATAATTTAACAGAATTAGTTACAGCGCTAAATTAGTTTAGTTATGATCCGTGAAATAACGTCTCCATCTATTAACGCCTAAGTAAAATCATGCAGCAATAACAACAGTTTGAACTTTATACACTTTTATAGAAGAAGACAATATAAATATAATAATATATACAAATATAGAAAACATATAATTTTACTGAATTTAATTTAATTAAAACAATATGGTGATCTTAACTGGTTGCTGTTTGCAATAAAACTAAATATATATTGTAATCTAGCGATTCACCCTTGCTTCGCTCGGGTTTGCTTCTATATCTCCTCCTTAAGAAATGGTTGATTCCCAAAACAAACTTTTATCCCCGATTTCCCCTCTTTATGGGATGATTTTCTCGATAATAACTAACCTATTTCTTGCTAGGGTCTTAAACTATCTTTATACCAAATTTCATCTAAATCGGTTCAGTGGATTTTTAGTTTATCCATTACAATCAATAATACAATGTTTTGTCTTTATAATATTAGTATAGATTAAAACGATATTCAAAATGCTGATATAATTTTTTTTTCAGGTACAATTCTGCATCATTTTCTACCATAACTTCCCCGTCATGTTTTCTGACTGCAACTACCCTAAGTTTATAAACTTCCTTCTAGCCCTTAATGCTGCTGCTTTCCTATACATGTTCGGAAACTTTTACTTCAGAAGTTACATTAAAACTGAATGTACCCAAAAAATAGAAAATGAATCTATCAAAAATGTAGAAAACGATACTACAGTAGTAAGTAATAGCAAACAGAAAGAATGCTAGTGAATAAACTCTTGCTAATTTGTAATTTATTTAAATATATACAAAATATATAATATAAAATAATAATGGTATCATTTTAGATGTATCGCACATTATAGATTTATCGATGGTTTTTTTGAGATTTCATTTTCAAGATGAAATGAAAAATTAAATTGCATTTGAATTACTTCTTTCTTTGAGATATTTTTTCGGTGCCAATTGAAGTTATTTAAAAAGTTTTATGTTAACTATATATAAATACCTACAATCTTCATATTCCCTGTTTTTTTTTATATTTTATAAAATATATTTTTTTTAAGTTTTCAAGCATGTATCTAAATTTTTGGTAATTTTTTAAATAATTTCATTAATATCAATAATTTTACCATCGACTAAAACTACAATATGCGTAGTTAAATAAATAATGTGATTTTAATACTAAGTAATTTAGTGGGAACTATTTTGGCCTTTTAGGTAAAGGTGACATATGTAAATCTTTGTACAAAGTTGTATTATTTGTTTTATGTTTAAAGATATTGTTTTATATTTATAGTGAAGCATTATAATTACACGTATTAAGAGGATTGTGAAGTGTCGATACGCGGCGCGAGTAGGCTTTTTAAAAAACGCTATCTGTGTGTTTTTGTAATTCAGCTTAGTCTGATAAAAAAACCATCGAGGAAGTTTTTAAGTCAAATATATATATATATATACATACATATATATATATATATTATATATACATATATTTGACTTAAAAATGCTAATAACTTCTATCGTACGCAATATATCTTTGAAATAAAAACTTACGGACCTAGTTTTTCATTATATCTACAACATTTCCAAAAATTAGGAAAATTAGACTATGTTTAATGTTTATTGGGAGAAAAAACGTTATCGCTTTTTGTATGAAAATTTACAGCTTCACAATCCTCTTAAGATATTATTACACTAAACTAGACGCACGCTGTGAAAGATTCATTAGAAGAAATAAAATAGCACCTACTTTGTTTATATCTATTGTTTATATCTACTTTTTGTATATTTCTTTGTGGTGTACAATAAAGCTTCTATCTATCTATCTACTTTGATATAATTTTCTCAATTTGTTAAAAGCGTCAATTTAAAACAGTATTTATATAATATATTCCATGCATTAGTCCTAAGTAAATGAAGGCTTAAATTGTTATCCGCACCATACATAATTGTTATCCGCATAATATACTTATAGTCTTAGACTAAGAAAATAGTTTTATTCGTTAAGAAATCTATCTAGATTTCTTAGACTAAGCGAAGCTAAGTAAGAAATTAAGGAAACGTTTGAATCCTATGGTGCTTCCACACAACAGTTAAAGTTTTTTAGATAACATTACGTAATATTTCTTAACACGAAACCTTTTTCAGCATTCAAGTAATATGTTAACGAACTTGTTAACTATTGTTAGACGTTTTTAAAACTTCCACACAATTATGTTGTGATGTAGAACATTTCCTAACATATTATAACCACTACTTCGGATTAATTTGTTTAATATTTTGAATATGTTGCTGTTTTCTAAAAATAATTACAAATTGTTATATTTTACTTCGAATTGTTTTGTTACCAAATGTTAGAAATATATAAAAAGAAAATATTTAATAACTTTTGTTATAGGTAATATGTTTTTTTTTGTTAAAATGTTACCTTACAAATTTTTACTAACATTTTTTTACTGTATTACTTTGATTAATTTTATTTATGTTGCATAAACGCACCTAATTGTATCGCCTGTCTCCTACGTGCATATAGTGGTCATTTCGATGCCCGAATATCTTATTGTTATATATTTTTAATTTTTTAATTTTCAAGTAAACGCCATCTATCACCTATGAAGTAAAACAAAATATTACAAATAAGAGCCTTTCAATCTATTTGTATTTATCAGATGTGGTATCTGTACCGTCAGTATACTTAAAGTATAGTACTATATATGTTACCGATCTAATCTAGATAAGTTTATTTTATTCAATGTGGTACAATTATGTCAGCATCAACCAAACCGATCAAGTAAAATATTTAATGCTTGTAAGAAATATACACATACATTTAACTATAATAGTTTCCATCTTATTTTAATATAAGACGTTTACATTTAACGTTTATATTAGTTATGAATAAAATATCGAATATCTTAACGGCATCAATATAGGCTTTTGTTTTAGGGCCCATTTTTACAATTTACTTATGCCAAACCCACCGTCGCTCCACTCGGGTTCAACCCTAGTTACGTTTTAACGTTTAGTTCAGAGATGAGATATTTTCCCACAGTACAAAAATATCCATCCAGTGACCAACTATCATCATACCAAATTTCATCAAAATCTATGTGTTTTAGTGTTTCGGTATTATGTTATCTCGTGATGCGGTCACAAAAAAACAGACAGACAGACAAAAATCCAAAAAACTATTTATACTGCTTCTGTATCGATAATAATGTCTATTTCAATATGATTTTCCAAAAAATATTTAATGTACAGATTCGACTCAGTTAGAATTTTATTATATGTATAGTATAGTATTCTATTTTATGAAACTTATCTTTTCGTTGCCACAGATATATAGAATTTTGGGACTCACCGTTACTCTATAGGTATTGATTATTGAATTATATTCAATAATTTAAACACGTTAAGTTATTCGATTGTTATTAGTTTTAAAACACTATTACTGTGCTCAAATAAGGTTGTACATATAATGGGGTTTAGGCGTTATTGCGTAATTATGTACGCATTTTGTGAATGTCGGGACAAATTTAGATGGATTTTAATTATTTCAACTATAACGATTCCTGGCTTTAGCATTAAATTATTATTTCCTTGATTATCAAACTGTTAATATTATAATTTTCACGCCAATTGATTTATTAAGGAAAAAAATGAAATATATATGTGATATAAATAATAAATTTAATTTATTAAATATTTTTATTTACAAATATTGTAACTCATGTAAAATACTAAGATGATTCTACGAGTATAACTGTTAGACCATTACTATTAAAAATTGTCGTAAATTATTGTACATAATATATATTTAAAATATATAATATATATTCTATATTTAAAATATATAATACATATTATGTACATGCTATTCCAAAATTTGCTTAGTTATCATCGAAACGAAAAAAATGAAAACTATTATGTAGTAAATAGCGAGTAGCTACTTCTTAACGTTCCGTAAACATAATATGTAAATGCATAAAGCTATTAGGGTTTTGCTTTAGTTGAAATAAAGTATGAATATATGTCTGTCTATATACAAAGATAGTTTTTAAGAAAAATAAAATTTTAATAAAAATATTGCATTTTATTTTTAACACTTTTTTTTTTATTTTTAGCTTCACCTGGAACTAAGTTTGTAAGAATAATTCTATATAGCCGAGCCGAGCCGTACATGCTAGCCACTACACCACTGAGGCAGTTAATTAGGCATTCTACACACATATACACGTAGTAGTACTCACAGGAAGGATATAACATACATATATATATATATATATATATATATATATATATATATATATATAGTACTATATTTCTTGGTCAGCTTGTTCCCATCTTTTTAATTCGCCTTTTCGTAGTCGGAGTCTGTTTTTGTTATTTATTTTTTCATCATAGCATCGAATAATTGCGTTGTGTCGTATACATTGAACATTGGACCGTTCACATATCGTTGGTATAGTTTTGGTAGCTATAGCATTTATAAATGTAGTCTATATAGGTACTAATATTATAAAGGAGAATGATTTTTTTATTTGCTTGTTTGTACCGAATAAGCTCCGAAATTACTGAACCGCTACTGATTTGCTAGAAATTAATATTAAGTTGTGGAGAAAAAAAAAACAAGTAGGTATTAGTCCTTCGATTACTTAATTCATTTCTAATAATTATGTTAAAATTATATACACCGTACCACTTTTTTTTCTCACGCTCGGGGGTTTCTGTTAGAGATCTCAAGAAATAAGTCATCCTTTGTACATATTTATCTGTTTTCTGTATTTATATGTATCACTAGCGACTCACCCTTGCTTCGCTCGGGTTCGTCCCTAGCTTGATTGCTTATACGAAATTTCATCCCCAGTTTCACCCCCTCAAGGCATGAATTCCGGGATAAAAAGTATCCTATGTCCTTATTGGATTCTCAAAATATCTTCCTGCCAAATTTCATATAAATCGGTTCATTGGATCCAGAGATTACCCCCTGCAACTTCACAAACTCACAAACTTTACCTCTTTATAATATTAGTATAGACTAGCAATACCCCTGGCTTATTTTAAAGAGACAGAGTTTGTCTAAATGCGTTTATCTCAGGAACTACTAATCCGATTTGAAAAAATCTTTTTGTATTAGACAGTCCGTTTATTGAAGAAAGCTATAGGCTAAAGTGCACTAGCACTAGAGCACAGCCTAAAAATATCAATCTTAAAACGTGACACCAAAGTCACTGATGCTGTGCTAGCCCAGTTGCAGAGTGAGTTGTGGTTCGCGGGAAATTTATACAAAAAAAAACATACAAAACCATTGTGCTTAGATATAAGCATTACATAAGTTAACAATAAGCACAAAAAAAAAACAATGACAACAAGTTATATTATATAAAAAAATAGAGTTTAAGTTATACATGTACCTATATATAAGCATTAGATAATAAGTTCATACGAACTAAATTAAACAATATATGTAATTTTTACTAATAATATGTCATACCCATACATGTACCTAGATATAGATAATAAATAAGCATTAGATAATTCGTACAAGTCCATACTAATATTATAAATGTGACAGTGTGTTTGTTTGTTTGTTTGTCCTTCTTTCACGTCGAGACGGAGTGACGGAGTGGCATGATTTTTTGTGCGGACAGAGTTGGAGGGCTGGAGAGTAACATAGGCTACTTTTTACCGCGGGAGATTATTTAATTCCCACGGGAAAATACGTTATAATACAATCCAAAAAAATATTTATGTTCAGAATTATTTGAAACTTGTTATTTTTTATTCATGTTCCTGAATGAAATTAAATAAATACGTGTTTTAGCATTTTTCGAAATTTATTCTATAAGGGGGTAAAATAGGGGATGAAAGTTTGTATGAAACTTCTTCTTTAGAGATTTTTTTGTAGTTCTAGCGCGAACTTAGCCGCGGGTTCTGCTAGTAAGCTTATAATAAGCAATTTAAACAATGTAATCAGTCCAATTGAGATAGTATATTCAACAAAAAAAAATCAGTTTAATAAAAGTCTGTGTTGGACCACGTACTTCAAAAAATAAGTCTTAGTACCGCTAGTTCTTAGCTAATCTAAAATCTAAAATGAGCCAAATACAAAAAATATTGTAAACGTAATAAAAATGGCACGGGCAATTAAGGCCAGTTTCATTTAAAAAAAACCGTTAAAAAGTACCTAGATACGAACCCGAGCGTAGCGAGGGTGAGCCGCTAATATAATAATATGATAACGTTATCCTGACGATGCAACCAGGATAAGCTCCTTGCGAGGGAACCGGTCAACGATTAATAGCACGCACGCTAAACTTTACATATGGCAAACGCCTTCCACTGTGATAGTTAAAAATGATTTCCATCATGACCTAATGATGCTGCCAGGATCACTCAGTCTCTTTTATACATATAATAAAATTCTGAGTCAATTCTGTACATTAAATATTTTTTGGAAAATCTTATTGAAATAGACATTATTATCGATACAGAGGCCGAATCTATAGTTTTTAGAATTTTTGTCTGTCTGTCCGTCTGTCTGTTACCGCATCACAGAAAAACTACTGGACGGATTTTGATGAAATTTGGTACGGTCATACCTGATTATCCGGGTCACCATATAGAATACTTTTTACTGTGGAAAAATATCTCATTTCAGAGAAAAAATACAAAAACTGTAATGTAACTGTAATGAGTATACTAATATGTAAAACCTAACAATTTGGTTTTTGGTCATATGAACGCGGTCGGAGCCGCGGGCAATGCTAGTTTATTATAAAATTTTAAAAATATATAAAATAATGTATCATTTAAACACTAAAAAGTAAAAAATTAAATTACATTAATATCTTAAAACAATACGCTTTATAGTGCAACATTAAAAGCAAAAAATAATTATCAACCTTTTCTGCTCTATATCTGTTTGGAACTACGAGTATTTATGAGATTTGTATGTGAAAACGGCAGACAATTTTGTTCGAAAATAAATGTACATTGATCTTGATAACGATAGGACCCTCAGGATATAGATTGATTTTTGATAATCACGAACATCGGTATTTATGTTGTTGCTCACTGAAGAACTAAATTATAAAAAAAACTGCCTTGGGATACCTATGCATTAAAATCTCCTATCCTTAAACTATACTAAAACCACAGTTCTAAACAATTGCATTTAATTCACTCAGGCACTCAGTGGAATCTATACTAATATTATAAAGAGGTAAAGTTTGTGAGTTTGTGACGTTGTAGGGGGTAATCTCTGGATCTACTGAACCGATTTCGATGAAATTTAGTAAGTAAGTTCGAAGTCGGTGTGCTTTGGCTAAGTAATTAAAGCCTACCAATTAAATACATACCTAATCAAATATTTTCGAAATCTGTGCCAGCCCATACAAAGCAAAGCACACCGACTTCGAAAATATTTGATTAGGTATGTATAGTAAATGAAAACTACCAATCAGTTATTTTTTACTTTTTAGTACTTTTGTTTGAAGTCGGTTTTTATTTTTTTGTTAAAAAGTTTTTTTGCTGAGAAGAGCCGGCGAGAAACTCAACAGTTGCTCTTTTAAATAATGAATTACATAATTTTTAATAATAATTTACAATATTACAAACAGTTCCTGACTAGTTTATTGTAGTCATTTTTTTTTATTCTTATCGGCCAAGGTCACATAACTAAATACCTAATACGTAAATCATTACAAATTAATCAAATATATTATTTTCCATTAAGTCGCCCATATATAAAAATGCAACCTTACAATACATAGGTATAGAAAAGTAGATAAGTATTTAAAAAAAATATTCCTTACTTGAGAAATGATTGATTCCACATTCAAACTTTCACCCCCCTTTTTATTATTACACAATTATATTATTAATTATGTACTACATTTATTTCGGGGCTCAATTTTAATTTCATAGTTGTCCAAGTGCTTCATAGTAATATCAAAAGAGAGACGAAGAGGGTTATCCTTTCCGTAAGTGAAACTGCTAGCCGGCTTGAACCGGAAGTTTCTCAGCAGTGTCGTGATAACAGTCTTCATAGATAGCGCGGCATACTGATATCCTGTAAGGCAATTTCTTATTAATATTATTTTAAATATAAATGGTTTTCATCTATTGAGAAAACCACTATACGATCGCTAAACCGGTTTTATGTGACTTAAATACAACTAAGAACATAATTATTATCTATACCAATATTATAATGAGGTAAAGTTTGTGAGAGTGTGTGAGTTTGTGAGGTTGTAGGGGGTAATCTCTGGATCTGCTAAACCGATTTGGATGAAATTTAGTAAAAAGATAGTGTGAGACCCTGGAAAGGACATAGGATACTTTTTATCCCGGAAATCATTGGGTTGGTCACTCTTGAGGGGGTTAAAATGGGGATGAAAGTTTGTATGGGGAATCAAAGTAGGGACGAACCCGAGCGAAGCAAGGGTGATTCGGTAGTATTATATGAACGGTGATAGACGAGACACGATTACTTAGTATCTTGAAAAAAAATATCAAAAAGTTACAAAACTCTTTATATATTTATATATAAAGAGTATATACGCAATGCGCACGTTAATTACGTATGTGTAATGTAATATAACTCACCAATGCAGTTTCTCGGTCCTATAATGAATGGCATATAAGCACTCGCAACCGGTTGTGGCCGGGAAATAAACCTATCGGGAATGAACTCATCAGCATCATCACCCCAATAGTTAGGATTACGGTGAATTCCCAAAATATTAATAAGTACGGTAGTGTTCGGTGGTATTATTAATCCAGAAGCTGAAAATTAAAGGGAAATTGTATATATGTACATTTCATTGATATCCTCGAAGGACTGATTTCGATAAAAAAATCATACACAGACGGACTCTGATCTGGAGTAACTTATAGTCATATATGGATGTACCCGAGCAAAGTGAGATAAGTTGCCAATGATAATAATATAAGTAATATATTGAAAAACGGCTAAAAGTTTGTATTTTTGAAATAGGCTTTAAAGTTTATACCCAGCTTATTCGCTCTGCAGCCCTCAAAGCGAGGAGTGATCTCTCTTCATGTTTAAGGAGGTTGGAGTAGAGTAAATTTTAAAATATAATGTAATATAGATAAAACAGGTTAAGTTTTTATTCTCGTGAACTTTAGTTAGTGTGACAAGCAAATGTTATGATGAGTATATTATTGTCTCAATAAGCTATGCTGTAATGGTTCGCTGAGACATGTTGTCATTTTTTCCGTAACTTATAATAAAAAAGTTTATGCCTTACGTAATTCAACATCACGGCTACAATATCTTACAACAGCAGGTATCGGTGGGTAAAGCCGCAACGTTTCCTTTATGACCGCATCCATATACTTTAGTTTTTGTAAATCTCCCATTTCTATTGGTTTATCTGAATCTCCAAACACTTCTAAAATTCTAAAATAATAAAATATTTTTTTACACATTAAATACAAATATGTGAAATTGTTCAATGTCCACAATAGGCAAACAATTATAAATGTGACTTGGAGTTGACTAAGTTATTCCTTATAACAGTTATCTGTCAGTGAATTTGCTGTCAAAATCAGTTCAGCCGTTTCGGTGCTAAGCTGTAATAAACAGACAGACTTATTATTTTAAATGTAGAATTATTATTCTTTCAAAATGGATAGTTGTTAATAGGTTTTTTTGTAATTACATGATATACTTTTCTTTGATTGAATTTATTCGCAGGTAATTATTATTAGTTATTAGTTTTGTTTTATACAAATGTATTACGGAATTATTCGCACCTAGGGACGCACAGCGAGGTGGAGGTACATAAGTCACTAGTAGAGAGTAAATTAAAGAGTAGACTATTATAAATAGGTTTAATAGATAGAACACACAGAGCTAACCCGACAATGAAACTTTGCGATAAAAACAAAGACTTGGGCGAAGTCGTTCTGTCTAACCAGCGAACCACTCCTCGCTCTTGTTGTCCCGGCATGATGCATTTTTTTATTTTATTTTTAACGCGATTCATTTTTTTAAGCGATGCACTGCTCACGCACTAATATCAAGCGCCTGGCCTTCACCACCAAGGTTTTATAAATAAAGGTATAAAATTACAAATAAACGAAATTCCTCAATGTTCACAATGGGTATGTGTGTTTTCGAAGTGAGAGTTTGTCGTTGGTATTATTAATTAGCTGATATTTCTGCAACTGCAATTTCTGCTAAGACCACAGGATGGTCGATGACTTTATATACTCACCATGCCCATACTTCGGTGGTAAGACAATATAGGAGTAGACAAATAAAGAAAATATAGAGAAAAGAGTTGTCTGCGCGTATACTTGTGCTTACTTGTGCTTTATAATATCTCCCATCTGAATCTGAGTAAAATTGGCCGCCGTGGCTAAAATCGGCCACAAGAACATTATACAATAAGGTACTTACTCTTGATATACTTTTTCTTGTATATCAGGATATTGCGACAACATTATACACACGTAGCCTGTTCCGGCAGCAGAAGTGTCAGTACCGGCTAGTGCCAGCATAAGGACCTCATCTCGTAGATCTTTATTTGTGTACACTTTGCCATTTGCTGATGAACTTTCAATCATTGCATCGACAAAAGTCTTGAGTTCTGTTCTTGAAGGCTGAGCTAAAATGTCATAAAACGATTTTTAAGTGTACAGTAGAACTAGAGAGTAGAGTTTTTACTTAAAAGTATTTATATTATCCACGAGCAAATTCCCAAAAATCACTTAATGCCATAAAATAATTTGAATACAACACAAAGTTGATCTCATGATTTTACCTTTCATAAGTTGTAAATTCTGTGTATCTCCGGACATTAATGATTTTTTCTTATAAATTAACTGAAAAAAAGATAAACTATTAGCACTATATAATAATTAATATATATGAATTACTGACAAAAGTTCTTCAGGCCCTTCCACTATAAACTGGTTTGAATTAAGTACCTAATTATTAAAGTAGTTTGTGTTATTTAAGTGCGCCTTCAGAATTCGAGTATGTTGCAACATAAAATAACTTAGTCTCAACTGGTTGTAAGGACAGTTCATTTAAATGTATTTTATCTATAACGTTCTGATCTAATTTTACTATGTAAGTAAACACGATCTTAACAGCACTTTTACGAGTGCTTTTTTCTTTTATCTTTTCAAAGTTTGAAAAAAAATAAACTACTTATTCCATAAATATGCAAATTCAAAATTTTCAACGTAGCTTACTGAAAAATTAGGTTTTCTGATTTAACACGTTCTTGTCGCATATGAGCGATATAATTTAAATATTAATGAATATATTTTGTTTGAATAGTCACGAAAAAACGTATTACTCAATCTGTGTACTCCAAATCCGACCAGCTGTTTCAGCGTGACCAAGTTTCAAACATGGTTATTACTTGACTTTCAGTGAAGGAAAACATTTTAAGGAAAGATGCATATTTGAGAAAATCTAACAAGTTTTCGAAAGATATGTGAAAATACTCAAGCGGCACTTGGCGAGAGTGCTGGATTATGACCTGGTTCCCCACATGTATTGAACCCCATTGTATTGGACCCCGTGCCCAGCAGTGGGAAGTTAAAAAGGACTGAATAGATTGAGAATTTGAAGAAAACATATATCAATAGAATTTATCATTCTTGGTGTGGCAAGCACTCGCTCTTGGATTGTCCTTGTGAGTGTTTATGGTAAGAGTGATCTGTGGTATTTCCGCCTGCGGGCATTTTGCTGTCGCAAAATATATAGGAGACCGGCTGAATTTATCTTTATTTCTCGCGCTGTGTGGTCTACGCACGCGACACGCACCCTCATAACCAATGAGTCTCACTAGATAACAAGTAGTGTTTCTCCGCCTGCAAACTTCGGAATTTTGGAAGAGTATAACATACCTGTCCCAGAGAAAATTATGTGAGGTGCTAGTGATCGACCAAGGTGGCCACCAAGAAGACCAACAGTACCAGGTGAGCGACCCTCATTAATTCCCGTTGGTTGTGATACTCAGACGCCGCCCACATACATTCTCAGGGACCGTTTTAAGGACAGTGTTGTACCCTCGCGTCTCCACGTTTTGGGTCGTAATTATTGTTTCCATAACGCAAGAGTGCATGGCTATTTACACGCCTGCCACTCCGATTATATTCATATATATTTTCTTCAAATTTTCAATAGTGATTATGGGCGAATTTCGATAACTGGGCGAACACTAGTAAAAATTAAAAGGCACCGACCAATTGGCCTAAGTCGAATCGCGTCTCAGAATCAAATCAGAGTACGAACAATGAACTTTTTATAGGTACAAGATAAGATTATAATTTATGCAATGAACGCAATCAAGAAATATAACATTGATAACTTACATCGTCAATGAAATCGTAGATAATTTTCTTGTGTTTCATCTGTATTTTATAAATTGGCATTAATTGATAAATAAAGTCCCACTTTAGCCAAGTCTGGAATGTGCGGATTGCTACATTCTTGAAATATTCAACAAAAGCATTGAGAAATGGAAAGTCTTTTTGTGCTTGTATATTAATATTTATACCGAAGGCCGTTTCTGTAAAAGTACAACTTTATAATTTGCTATCAGAGCCCGAGGCTCCGCTTGCGCTAAAACTTGCGCTAAAAACAAATCCCGCAGGCGGCGCCACTCGCCCGAATTCTGATTGGCGCATTTGTACCGACACGCGTGGCTCATATGATATATAAGGCCTGCTTTGACACGGATTTCTCCCGACTCCTATTATATTACATATTAACTTACGTTTCTCCCGACTCGTATTGCTCTCATAACGCATACTTATTCACGGTAAAGTGCTAGTGAGGTGGCCAACAAGAAGACCAGCGAGCTGCACCAGGTAAGCGACTTGCTTTTATCCCGCATAGTTGTAAGCTATTACATCATCCGCCAGATACGTTTTTAAGGATTTTTTAAGGGCATTGTTGGGTCCACGCGTCTCCTCGCGCTGGACCGTAATTTTTGTTCCCACATCGCAGAGAGGGCACGGCTATTTACACGCCTACCACACCACTGATCATATCTTTTGGAAGTAATATCGGTTATGTTCTAATTTTTATATATATTTTAATTAAATAACAATATATGTTTTCCCACTTTAAATAATGTAAAAAAAATATACGTGTCAAATTGAGAACCTTAACCTTTTTTTCGTCGGATCAAAAATAATAACAATAAAATGCAGATTTCTGTCAGTGATATTTGACTCCCATTGCTACCAATGTTTAGGATAAAGGTGATATACATACAGTTTGATATGATGACGATGACAAATAACCTGATAACAATTGGCATAAATAAAAAAGTCACTTACCACATATAGAGTCCAGGGCATATGGACTAATATATTTAAACATTGGCACGTTCCCTTTTCCAACGTGGGGCTCTAGATTTCTAACAATCATTTTACTTTGCTCTTCAAAAACATGAACAAACCTGCTCAGATATTTTGTTGAGAAGCATGGTAGCAAAATTTTTCGTCGAGAACGCCATATTCGGACTGAAATATAATTATTTAGTGAGTAATAAGTCGGTTAAAAAGGAATTAAATTATAATGTATATTATTATCATATAAATAAACGAGTTGTATGGTACGAAAATATTGTGTATAATGCGTATTGATCATATATGGAGTTTTTATGTATTCTACATAGATAGCGATTAATCCAGTCGAGAAGTGCAATATCTGCGAAAAATGGATAAAAAGTCGGAAAATTATGGTCAATAATAATAATGAGCCATCTTTCAAGAAAACAACTTTGCATTAAAATTTAATGTTATAATTAAAAGAAAAATAAATTCATTAAAAATTTATATCATTACGAATAACAAGGTTCTGATTTTCCTCATACCTACCTAAATAAAAAAAAAGAAACTCTTATCCAAGTTGAATGTCAACATGTCGTTTTATTTCATTAGATGGGATTTCGTAAGACTTATAACTTGAGGGCTTCTAGCTGCATTTTTTAAAAACAGATAAAAGGATATACAATAAAAAAGTATTAAAAATAATAGTAATTAATAAGTTAACTGCCTCGGTGGTGTAGTGGCTAGCATGTACGGCTGCACACTCGGAGGTCCTGGGTTCGAGTCCCGGGTCGGGCCAAGTTTAGTTATTGAGTCTTCCTGTATAGTAAGTCTCAGTAACAGCCCGGAGTTGGGAAGCTGGCGGTGTTTCACCCCCGTGCCTCGGAGAGCACGTAAAGCCGTCGGTCCTGCGCCTTAACTCTCACCGGTCGTGTCGAGTGGTCGTCCCACCGGAGTATGAGAGTGATAGGAATAGAGAGTGCACTTGTGTCTGCGCGTACACCTGAGCACTATAATATCTCCTGCGCAGTTGGCTAATCTCATTGAGATTGGCCGCCGTGGCCGGAATCGGCTAGGAGAACATCATCATCAATTAATAAGTCCTCCTGATAGATTTCGGCCACGGCGGACAATCACATTGAGACTAGCTATCTGCGCATTTGATATTAAAGTGCAGTGCCTGTACGCGCAGACACAAGTGCACTCTCTATTCCTATCACTCTCATACTCCGGTGGGACGACAATCGACACAACCAGTGAGAGTTAAGGTGCAGGATCAACGGCTTTACGTGCTCTTCGAGGCAAGTAGGTGAAATACCGAAAATTTCCCAACTTCTCGCTGTTACTGAGGCTTACTAAACAGAAAGACTCAATAACTTAACTTGGCCCGACCCTGGACTCGTACCCAGGACCTCCGGATGTGCAGCCGTACATGCTAACCACTACACCATTGAGGCAGTATGTTTAAAAAATAATATATTAATATTAACACTTCTTTTATGCCAAGTTACACATAAAAATGTATATAATTATTACCTGGTGCAAAAATGGTACCATTCCCAATTAATTCCTGGGCTAATTTGCCAATATGACCCTTACTGTTTGTAGATTTCAGCACAGCGGCTGCTTGTTCCGGGTCAGACACAACTGAAAAATAATATTTAGGTAATATATGTGATTAATTATTATTTAGTTTTAGTTTTAGCGAAGTGAGTTCAAATCGCGTGTCTTGCACCAGTAATATTTTTATGAGCGAATCATTTTCGACAGGATTACGATTTTTTTATGGTGTACGTAGCCATCGTGAGGAAAACTGCATGTCTGAATGACCTAATATATCCTTCAACCCGCACTTGGCCAGCGTAGTGGACTATATATATATATTTTTTTTTTTTTTTTTAACGTTGGGAAATGCATTTACGCACGACGTGTGGGACTCACCGGCGTAATACAGCCAGCCAGTACTACCCACTAAAACCCAACAAAACCTTCCCCCGTCTTAATGGGGCGTCGCAGGATCGCTTACGCATTCAACTACGACGCCCCGACGGCAGGTCTGCCAAAGCAGACCACCACAACCATGGGGTTGCTCCAAGGTCCACTCTGCTATCAGAGAAGTACCAGGAGCAACCCGCAAGGTACACCGCCCCCCGAAGAGGGCCACCTGCCACCGCCCACCGAAGTGGGCAACCTCCCTGTGCGTTTCTTAGCTTCGCTACTACTACTGAGCCCCCCCACCACGACAAGGTGAACGCACGTTGGGGGGGGGACTATATATATCCCTGATCCCTATCGTATTGAAGAGAGGTGCGCCCATCACTGAGACTTTAAAAAAAGAGGTGAATAATAATAACAATAACAATAAAAACTCTTCATTGCATACACAAAAAGAACACAAAAACAATCTATCCTTATCGCGAAAATAACGATTTCTTCCAGGCAATCTTTAGGTGTAGGAAATAGCAAAGTGTGAAGTGGAAGGGTTGTGAATATAGAGTTATAAATAAAATGATATATACATAATCGGTATCGGTAATAATCCAGCCAGGATATTCATCTTAGCATCACTTTCTGTAAATTAACTAAAAACTAAATTTGGAATATGAGTAGATGAAGCTGAAATTTGATTAAGGGTTCTTAACTTGATTGCCTCTGCATCATTGGCACTAGAAGAAGAGAAATGCTTATTAAATTGCTTATAAAATGCGGTAACAGAGAGACAGACAGACAAAAATTCTAATAACTATAGATTCGGCCTCTATATCGATAATAATGTCTATTTCAATAAGATTTTCCAAAAAATATTTAATGTACAGATTCCGCTTACTTACAATTTTATTATATGTATAAATTATAATTGAATATTTTTTTAATTAAATTAAAGTAGAACCGCGAACCACCTTATATTTCAATAGACAAAACTTATAAGACAGAGTGAGGTACTTCAAGTCGTTCAGTCCCCACTGCACATTGTGCCTAAAACTCATAAAAATTCTTTCCCCGTCCGCCCGTCCCTTTCTTTTTTCGGGATAAAAAGGTTATATTTATTTTGCTACTAACATTTTTACTGTATAATTATTGTTTAATATCTTGATTTAAAAAAAAATTAAAAAAACAACTAACTAATAAGCGTTTACATAAACTATCTAGTTAATTGCGATCGCAAAAACAATACGTAATGTTGCTGTAATGTAGGTAGAATAATAATATTGTTTATATCTTCTTTGTGAACTGTAACGGCCACCGCAGTCTCGCATTAAAGGCTTAAGCAGTACGTTGTGTTTGCTTCGATATCCAAATAACTAAACTCATATTTTACAGTGGCGACGAGAATAAGAATTCACGTACGAGTACATTTAATTATATATAATATAATAAAAGAAAAAAAAACAAGATGTCAATCGGGAAGTTATCAGAGTTCGACATTCACAAGGACGATTGGATGTTATACGTGGACCGTCTGGAACAATATTTCTTAGTTAATAACGTAAGTAATGAACTCCGAGTGCCGACGTTAATAACAGTTATGGGCGCAGAAAGTTACGAACTTTTAGTTAATTTGTGTACCCCAGAAAAACCGAGTACAATAAGTTTTCATCAAATTACACAAATTATGGAAAAACATTTACAACCACGGCCCAGTGAATTGGCAGAACGATATAAGTTCAGGCACAGAAAACAACGTAGTGATGAAAAAATTTCGGAATACGTGGCAGTTCTTAAGAAAATGTCAAAAACGTGCAATTTTGGTAGTTGGCTGGAAGAGAGCTTGCGAGATCAATTCGTATGCGGAATAAATAGTGAGATAATCCGCCAGCGTCTATTCGCAGAAAAGGGACTCGACTTCATTAAAGCTTATAATATGGCAGTAAGCATGGAAGCGGCCGAGAAAGATGCAGCGATAGTACAAGGTCACGGCCGATCATCGGATACAGTCATATCAGCTGATTGCCAAGTCATCACTAGGGCGACAGGGAAGCATTCAACGACGCGGGGCGAGACGGCGAATACGGCGCACGGCATGTATAGGAAGTATAATGCGCGCGCGCGAGCTGTACAAGATGGCGACGGGCGGCCGGCCGCGCGCGCCACGGCAGCGTCGGCGGCGGGTGAGCGGGCTCAGCGGCAGCGGGAGTGTCGCGCGTGTGGAGGTGCTCATAGTGAAGTGGCGTGTAAATTCACGCGATATGTATGCCGCGTTTGTAACAGACAAGGACATTTAAAGCGTATGTGTCCGGCCTTAGCGACGTCGGAACAGCACTGTGTAGTTGCGAACGAAATAGAAGAAAAGAGAGAACGGTGGAACGATGATGAGGACGAGGTAATTTTTATTGAATTTAATAAGTTAACAATAAATCAGTGTACGCCTATGATAATACCGATTAAAATTGAAAATAATTTTATTAACATGGAAATTGATACAGGTAGTGCGATTTCTTGTATAAGTTTAGATATGTATAATAGATATTTTTGTAAATTAAAACTGAAAACGTGTAAGCTTATGTTAAGATATTATACGGGTGAAACGGTACGACCGGTAGGGTTAATAACGCCCTTTGTTACTTACGAAAACCGATCGAAATGCTTAGATCTGTATGTTATTAAAGACGGCAAAACAGCACTGCTCGGTAGACAGTGGCTAGCTGAATTAAATATTAAATTGCCTAAATATGATTATTATTATCAGTCATTAAATAATTTAAGCTGTGATAAATTCAATCTCGAGGTGTTCAGTTCCAGATTCTCTGAGGTGTTTGCGGAGGGACTCGGGCGGTATACGGGGCCGCCGGTTAGCATTCATATACGCGAGGGTGCACGACCCGTGTATATGCGTGCGCGGCCTTTGGCGTATGCGCTGCGCGAGCCTGTGGAGCGCGCGCTCGAGCAGCATGTACGGGATGGCATCCTCACGCCGGTCGAACGTTCCGATTGGGCTACGCCTATTGTACCTGTGCTCAAGAAAGACGGTAACATTAGAATCTGTGCTGATTATAAATTAACATTAAATAAAATTTTAGAAATTGACCGTTATCCCCTTCCCCGTATTGAGGATTTATTAGTTAGGCTAAACGGGGGGAAACATTTTAGCAAAATCGATCTCTCTCAAGCTTACGCCCAAATGGTTTTGGATGATACAAAAAAATATACTGTAATTAATACACATAAGGGTCTGTTCGTATACAATCGTTTAGTTTATGGTCTGTCGTCTAGTCCGGGGATTTTTCAACGACGATTGGAGGAAATGTTTGCAGACATACCTCAGGTAGGTGTCTTTCTAGATGACGTTATTATTACTGGACAAACGACAGCGGAACATATAAGTAATCTGTACAAGGTATTCGAAAGGTTAAAGAGAAACGGACTCAAGGTTAAGAAGGAAAAATGTGAGTTTTTTGCAGATTCTATTAATTATTTAGGACACGTGATAAGTAAAGACGGTGTACATACTTGTTCCGATAAAATTAAAGCTATCGTAGACACACCAGCTCCGTCAAATATTCATGAATTAAGATCGTTTATCGGGATGGTTATGTATTACGCAAAATTTGTAAGAAACGTAAGCACCTTATTAGCACCACTATATGCGCTATTGAAAAAACGAGTAAATTTTTGTTGGGATAGGAATTGTCAAAAAACCTTCGAGGCTATTAAGACAAGTTTGACGAGCAGTGAGGTATTGATGCATTACTCGCCAGAGTTGCCTCTCGTACTGACGGCAGATGCAAGTAGTGTAGGTATTGGTGCGGTTCTGTCGCACGTGACGCCGCATGGGGAGCGGCCGGTAGCATATGCGTCACGTTCTCTATCTCTGGCCGAACGATGTTATTCGCAAATAGATAGAGAAGCTCTTGCAATAATCTTTGGCATCAAAAAGTATCATCAGTACTTGTATGGTAGGAAATTTATACTACGAACGGACCACAAGCCTTTAACATACATTTTTGGTCATAGGGTTGGTATACCAGTAATGGCTGCATCGCGTTTACAGCGATGGGCATTACTGTTGTCAGGTTATAATTATGATATAGAATATATTGTTTCCTCGAAAAATTGCGCAGACGCTTTGTCTCGGTTACCATCGGAGGAAAGTAAGAGTGATACCACTAATGAGATAAAGTATCTCAACTTTGTGGAACAGTTTTTACCAATTACGAATGATGACGTAAGAAAGGCTACTGCAAAAGATACACTCTTGAGTAGAATCAAATTATATATTGAATCGGGCTGGCCTGCGGGTTGTCCCGACGAGGAGGTAAGACCTTACTTCACGCAACGGTATGAGTTGTATGTCGAATGCGGTTGTGTGATGTGGGGTTATCGAATTGTTATACCTACAAGTTTACGGTTATTAGTTTTAAAGCAATTACATAGCGGGCATATGGGTATAGTTAAAACTAAAAGTTGCGCTCGGGGCTATGTTTGGTGGCCACGTATCGACGAAGAGGTTGAAGCGACATGCCGAAATTGTGAGACATGTTCGCGGGAACAGGATGCGCCACCGCGGTCACCTCCGCACCCGTGGCCATATACATCTCAACCTTGGACCCGGGTCCATGTTGATTTTCTAGGGCCAATGTTAGGTAAAACATTTTTTGTGTTAATCGATGCATATTCCAAATGGTTAGAAATCGTAGAAATGAGGCAAACCAATGCTGTGAGCGTAATAGGCGCTCTTCGTAGTATGTTTGCGAGATTCGGGTTGCCAGTAGATTTAGTTTCCGATCAAGGTCCACCTTTTACAAGCAGGGAGTTTGAATCATTTTTAAAAAATAATGGCATACGTCATTTGTTTTCACCGGCATATCATCCGTCCTCAAATGGTGCCGCAGAAAATGCCGTCAAACTTTGTAAAAGGGCGATAAAAAAGGCTATTAGAGATAAAGTCGATGTTGACATAGCTTTACAGACATTTTTATTAGGGTACCGTAATACCATGCACTGTACTACAGGTGAAACACCGGCCATGTTACTTCAACGTCGCTCGTTACGCTCACGTTTAGACTTGCTACGTGCCAATCGGGTAGTAGAAAATAAGGTTTATGCAGCTCAGGATAGACAAGTAGAAAATGCAGGGGGAATGTATCGACATTTAGAGCCAGGGGAACCAGTTTGGGCTAAAGGGTTTAGTTCACAGGACAAGTGGATTAAGGGGAAAGTAAACGAGAGAGAAGGCTCTAATAGGTACGTTCTAGAGGGGGATAATGGTCAATTATTTAAAAGACATATTGATCAAATACGACGTAGATCACACATGTCTGATGTTATTTGTCCCGATAACTCTTGTTATGAAAAAAATAATGAGAACGGAGGTGAGGATGGTATCATAGAGGCCAGGGAAGAGGTGGATGTTAGTAATAGTAGTAAAAAACACGGTTTAACTCCAGTTAAGGAATTAAAATCTAAAAGTAAAGAATTATCCGCGGTTGAGCTTAATAGCGATATGAATATCTCTACTAACCATCCACCGCAAGAAATCCCGGAGCCTCGTTACCCCCAACGAGTTCGCAAACCTGTAGTTAGATTTGGTTTCGAATTTGATTAGTTATTTGAATTGTATTATACTGTATGATATTTAAACTGTATAATTCTAGATTAAGAATTAACATCAAAGAGTTTTGTATACTATATAAAATATATAATAATATCTAATAAAATGTATAAGAGGGTGTTAGGATTTAAGGGTGGAGGTGTAATGTAGGTAGAATAATAATATTGTTTATTTCTTCTTTGTGAACTGTAACGGCCACCGCAGTCTCGCATTAAAGGCTTAAGCAGTACGTTGTGTTTGCTTCGATATCCCAGTAACTAAACTCAGATTTTACAGTTGCATGACGCTTTTGTATACCCACATTATTTTAATCGATGAGTTTATTTTCTATATCTCTATATAATATCTTTTCTACATTGTTTTGTACCACCTGTACGCTTATAAATATTTACCACGAACGAATAACTAATTCATTCATGATATTATTTACTATTAAGATGTATCTTGTTTTCTCAAATACTTAAGCGAATTGTAATATATTTTTTTTGATTTAATTCTTTAACCGTATTTATCTTTCCGAATTGTATCTTGTGTCTATCCGTAGATAGAATAAAGCAATTAAAACTCTTTAGCTTTGCTGGAACAGTCGCTATTATTTTTAAAAGTACGACAAACAAATATATTAACAGTTAAACAGATAGACAAAAAGTTCATTAAACACTCTCTAAGCTTTGGAACCATGCAAATAAATAACCATTCCATTTCAATATAGCTATTTTGAAATAATGAACAGGTTCAATTTTTTTTCGTTCAATTGCATAGAAAAACTATTTACCTATATTATGTAACTGTACGTGTACCTACATATATTTAGATAATTTAATATCCATACACTCGCTGCTCCATGTTTTCTGTTATATGTGCATTTTGCTATTTCATTGAGGGTGTCCAATCGAGCTGAAATACAAGAAAAGTATTAAACAAACATTTTAACATTTTATCTACGCTATGTAGTAGTACGTTTATATCAACATTATTACATGAAAATAATAAACATCAACATGTAGAAAATAATGTCATTAATCATGAAAATTTAACACTATAAAAACTAAAATGATAACTATAAAAGTTACTGGACTTTTCCATATAAAATTTTAAACTCTCCTTTATTTTCATTTAAATGTTACGCTAGCGTATTTGACCTATTCTGAAAACATTTAAATCTAAGTCTATACCCGGAATTGGCGATTAAGCCAATATTTTAAACTAGCTGAAATTTCAAATTCAGCTATTAAGAGATATATCAAAACAATGTACTAGGAAATTGAAAAAGGTCTTCAGAAATGTTAGTTTCTATTGTATGTTCTATATGTTCAGGTCCATTATAATTATTTGTCTCTTGTTCTGCACTTTAATTTTAGTACATTTTTCATTGGTAGTATTCAGTAGCAATTTTTAGTTATTTCTGGTATTTTGCTTAAGGTTTTAAATCTATTCTATATATTCTTTACATTTGGTATCCAGCCTTTTTGTTGTGTAATTCTTTTCGAGTGTTTTTTTTTCCTCCACTTTTTTTGAATATGTTTCTTTAACGTGTTTACGCTTTTTATTTTTCTTTCATTTCTAAGTTGCTTGCTGATCTTCTTGCTCAATTCCTATACGTTCCTGTATTAACTGCTTGCTTTGGATTGAGATTTTTACTTTACTGATATTATTTAGTATCCTTGCTTCCTTTTTTAAATAAGTAATTTTTGTACTTTTATTAAGTTGCTCCACACTTTTTATAGTATTTATTTAATGTTCTAATAAGGTTATCAAGAATTAAGTTATTGTCGCCATTACACTCTATTTAGCTGTATCATTATGAAATCGATCGATCGATTATAATTAGGAAATCTTTTTATACTCTTGGATTTTGCTAATGCCAATGTTGACCGAACCGTCCTATGGTCTGTATTAAAATATAAAATTGTTTATCATCGATGCATTCTCAATTTTTTGAGGTTGTTGGAAGAATGGTCCATTTTCTTCTTGTAAACGCTATTTAAAATACTTAATTTATTTTCTAAGGCAAACGTCACTAGTCTTGTGCCGTTTTTGCTTCTTATACCAAAACCGTAGTTCCTTATGATATATTCTTCTTTACTGTTTTGTGTTCCTATTTGTCCGTTAAAGTCACCTATTACTATTAAGTTTTATGTGCGATTTCAATAGTATATGGTAGGTCTTCAAGGCTATGTATATGATATTAGAAGTA